AGTTAACGGAAGACTGAAATTAGGTATTAAAAATAAAATGGTTAAAATACTGTATGTACTGATGTAAGCAGGTAGCCACTATATCCTATAATATGTATTTAAAATATATACAGGTGGCATGCTGCAAATACAATTTTGTTTAACATTGCATTTATTTATTGACATGTCCTGTCGGGGGTGTCTTCAGTTTGTTCATTTTAATTTCTGTCTGAATATTTTCTACCATATTTATCTGATTGAACTGGATGTAAAGCTAAGGAGTCTCCTGCCTCAGAACGATCAGGTTACATGTTAATATGTGCCTTAAATACATACCTAGGAAGCAATCCTTCAAAGAACAGGAGACTAGCCAATTAATAGATTTGCTAGTTTAAAGAAGTAAAATTTACACTGTTGTGAAAGTCAAATCCATAGAAAGGTTCCTCTAAAAACAGATGTTTACCAAAAAACTGTTTCAGCTAGTTATGTCTGAACCTTTCCGTTTATTTCTAGATTATGGGACAGCTTTATTCTCCTACACTAGGTTGTATTTCTGGAACAACTTTATTCCTGGTATTTTTTCCCACCAGTGCTGCAAATTTACTCCAGCATTTAGGAAAACTTCAGTCTCATTTTTAATCACCAGTAAAAAGGTCTGTAGACCAAATTGTGTAGTTACTTACACCTGCTTTACCTTGCTGTCTTCCAATTCTGTTTTCAGTGACATCCATGAACCCTCATTTTCCCCAACAATTTGTGATGGGGAATCTTCCTAGACTCCTTGATTCTTATTGCTTTTCTCAAAAGTTTAAAATCTATATATGAGCCTTTATTATTAGCATTCATATAATACCTTGGGGACATTGCAATGGGGTCACAGACTGGCATTTAGGACACAGTTTTGCTGATGTATGAGGAAAGATTCTCTCTGACATGCATCTGCATTTTAGGAACATAAAAGAAGTAAAGCCTTTATGAATAAAATGAAGGTGATGAGAGAAGATACACAAAGAATTCACCTGTTCAGTAAAAAACTGGTCCATGTTTCCATACCTGCCTTACAGAGAGCTGAACTTAAGGGTCATCTTTGAAAAGGGAGGGTGCTCCAAATGTGGTGTGCCATGTCAGACAGAATGACAGAATCACAGAAAAATGGGGCTGGAAGGGACTTTAGGAGGTCATTTAGTCCAACCCCTTGTACCAGTGATTCTCATTGAGGGTGTTGCCAGATCCTTCAAAGGGTGCCCTGAGGGATGAAGGGATAAGTGAGGTGTGAGGAGATGAGCACAGGCTCAGGCTTGTCCATGCCTGACCAGTCTCCTGCCTCCACTGCCAGGCCCCTCTGCAAAGAGGTAAACACTGTAATATATAAATAAGTGGCATCCACTGAAACTTGTGCCACCTATTTCACAGAAGTTTTGGAGGGGTGCCTTGAGTCCAATGAGGCATGCTTTGAGTCCTAAAAGTTTGAGAACCATTGCCTATGCAATGCAGGATCATTCCTGTCTGGAAATGTTGGAGAGGCCAACTAGGGACCAAGCAAGCAGGGACAGCAAATGGTGCAGTTGGCAAGCAATTCATTGGGAGTAAGAGGAGGCAGACAAAAGAGTATGTTAGCAGATAAAAGAGGATGATAAGCAAACCCTCATTTCACTTTGTTAGCAACTCGCAATACTTAGTTTTGTCAAATCCAAATCCACTTTGGAACTTACCACTATGGTGAAGAGAAAAAGGGAATCATTCTTCAGTGCAACTTGACCCACAAGCTCTTTCCAGTAGTGTAGGGTTTGTGTAAATACTGTTGTACAAGTTTTAGCATATTTAGAATCTGAACTGAGAAAGCCTCTTCAGTGATGGCAAAGAATGATAATAGCATGGAGATGCAGCACAAATATAGTGTGGGATCTAACACTCGCCTCCTGATGTCCTCTGCATGAAGCCTATTATTACGTCTGTGTCGGAACATGTTTGTTATTGTATGGCACAACGGTATCTTGTTCACCAACTTCCCAAGGACTCAACAGAATACAAAAGGACCTGGAACATTCTCAGGAATGCCAGTGCAGTTTGGGTTATAAAACCAGCTGTTGTGCTGACACATCTGGTTATACACCCAGAATTAATTAAAGCATAGTTTAGTCTAATGTAGCTGAGATGTGGACTTTGCAAAACTCGAGTGCAATTCAGAAAGGAGATTTAGAAAGGGATTGTTGCTATTAGCACTACAGTTGTTCTTAAAGCCTCCTGTTTCTAAATGGCTGCATAAGCATAGGTGAGGCCTTACAGAGACCGCCTGAGAATGTGGACCCTTCAGTATTATTAAAATCAAGTTCAGAAAGAGATTGTAATCCCCAAACCTCAAAGATGGAGGGTATAGAAAAGGATAGGGGATCTGTTAAGAATCCCACCTGTTAGGATTGGGAGCACTGAGAAAGTGGGCCCTGAGCATGTGAGTGAAGAGGATTTAAACCATCCCTCCAGTCTGAGCCTCCTCTCTTGCTCAGATTAACAGCTCCCACCTCTTCTCCCCTCGGATCAGAGTAGGACTGCAGTCTGCTTTAGGTATTATGGTAGTTGCCTTTTTCAGGATTGGACAGGAACTTTCCTCAATATCAGATCAGCAAGGTGGGGTTTTTTTTTTGCCTTTTTTACAGCAGCCCAGGACCCAGTGGGTGGGTTAGGAGGTAAAGCTGAAAAAGATACATCCTAGTAAGTGACCAGTGGAGGTATTTTTTTCATAGGGGCTCCAATCCCTTTATAAACTAGACTAAGAACTAGACTTACGAAAGCATCCTTAAGAAACTTAGGAACAGGATAGAGGTTCCTAATGTGTGATTCAGTGAATAAAAAAAACCCCTTTAACCTGCCTGTGACCGCTCATCTGAGATGTTATTAAACTGTCAGTTGGTCTTGACGTAGAAATCGAACATAGGATTCACAGTGCCAGCGTATCCTTCACAAAGCTGCTTCACAGCGTCTTTGATGGCTGAGATCTGCAGAAGGAAACTAAGATCCTGGTCTGCAATGCAGTGGTTATCCCCAGGCTCCTCTACAGATGTGAGATGTGGGTGACATATCAAAGCCATCATAAGCGCCTGGAATGGCTCCATGAGCATTGCCTCAGGAAGATTCTTCGCATTAGATGGGAAGACCACTGCACTAATGCCAGCATCCTCTCTGCAGCTAGTATAACCAGAGTTGAGGCAAAGATCGTGAACCACCAACTCCACTGGGCTGGACATGGTATGCAGATGGCTGACACTTGCGTCCCCTTCTCTCAACTTAGTCATGGTAAGAGGACCCGCAGAAAACAGGGGAAGCACTACAAGTACATCCTGAAAGCATGCTGTAAGAAGGGTGGCATCAACCCTACAAATTGGAAAGTGCTGGCTGGTAATAGGTCTTAATGGCGCTGCACCATATATCAAGGTACAGTCCACTTCAAAGAGAACACAGCAGAGTGCACAACATCCTGACCAACAGTTGTGTGCCCCCCACCCAGGCAGCACTTGTCATAAGTGTGGAAAAACTTGCAGAGCATGGATTGGACTCCTCAGCCACCTTAAAAGTCACCGGTAATTTCTCCCCTGCCCTACCCTACCCCCACCACTGGCAGACATCAGCCTCATATTGAGGGATAGCTGATTATGATTAGGCTGTGTAACTGTTCTAGAGGGATGAGGGGGCTGGGAGCAGACCACCACCAGGTAGAAATGATTAAGGAAGTAATGATGACCTGCATTGCCTCATCAAATTCCCCAGATGAGTTAGTAAAGATGCAGCCTAATTAAACCACATCCTTTGAAATCTGTCTGTTTTCCATCATGCCTTAGAGAATTCCTCTTCTAGCACTGCTTCTCTGCTTGTTGTGGGCAGGGATTTTTTTTTCTGTTGACTTTGGTTGCAATGAAAGTTTGAGGCCTAGAATGTATTATCTATTTCTTTAACTGTGTCTGTAGCGCATTTTGATTTGATCTATTTAGGTAAGACTACAACACAATAACTCAGTCAGAGCTCTTATGTGGTTAAACGTGGTTCTTAGCCATAGTAAGATCTTTAATGTAATGGGAGACTCAAACCCAGTTTTGCATTGTGATCTGAACACTGTTTTTATGGGGAACAACCCCCCTCCCCCAAACCTTTTCACAAAAGTCATTAAAACCATAATGGAAGTAGGTTGGCAACAATGGGAGTATCTGTTCTCTCTTTATGCTTTACAGACAACTGTTGCTGGCTACTGCATTATTATTGATGCATACTGAAATACTTCATTGTGATTTGTTTCACACCCAAAGGCACAGAAGGAAAACAGTTGTAGGTTTTTATTAAAAGAACTGCCAACATTGTTCATCTACTGCTGCTGTTTCATGCACAAAATGCAAATGAAACCCACAGTAGCATGCATAAAAAACAGAACTGGTAAAAGCCTGTGGGCATGACACACAAGCATTTTATTGGTTTGTTATGTGGCTTTTTTTAACTAATGATTTTTTTCCTTCAAAATGAAATTATCCGAATTACAACAGAGAATATTTTATTCTGCAAGAGTGAACATTGGTATATTAGTCTATGGTACAAACTATTTTTTTGTTGAATATCATTTTTTCATTGTGGCTGCATGAATACTCAGCTGTAATGTTGAATGCAGCTAAAGCACACTTTTTAAACTTCCCCATTAAATGCTGATATTAGGAAAGCATGCCTTTTAGAAACAAAATACACTGCACTGTTAAAATAATAACAGAAAACTACTGTTGGGTCACAAGAAAAACCTGCCTCTGAACACACCTGAGTTCTTGGGATAATGGTATCTCAAGCTAATCTTTGTCTGTAGAACAAATAAGTAGAGCAGACAGTTGAAAACAGCAAAGCTATAAAGCTAAAAGAAACACAGTGCAAGTTTTTACAAATATCTTTCAGAGAGATCAGATTTTCACGGTGTTCCAACAGCGTGATAGCTGCAGGCACAAAACATATTTCTCAGTTCTTCTTTAGAACGTGAAAGGCTCTTTTGTACTTACCATAACTGGTGGATCCTGCGGCAAGAAACAGGGCAGAAAACAGCATGAAATTTTGCTTGTGCATATTGCTTTTTCTGTGATAAGACATGATGCTCTGTGTTAATTTCTCCCTAGGTTGCAGGAACGTGTACATTTCCTGTTTCCTGCTTGGGTTTCTCTGAGTAAATTTCTTAAGGAGAGGTACAGTATTTGATTGCTTTTAGGAAGTGATGTAATTCAGTCTGGGCTTGTCAGCTAAGCAATGATTGCAAAAGACAGAAAAAAGTTGCTCTTCAAGCACTATTTCTGTTGAAGCACCTATGTGACCTGTCAGTGGGAGCTGTATCATTCTCATTTTTGAGACCTATGTCTATAACACATCATCTATTCCTCTAAATTCATTGTCATGGCAATGAGCATAGTATAAATACCTAGACAGATGGGCACAAAATAGCACAAAATAAAATCTCTCTCTTTGTATGGAGGATTTTACACTTTCTACTACTTATGTTTCCTATGGATACCTCAAAAGGTCAGATTTGCAAAAGGGCGCAGGGATCTCTACCTCTACACAAATTATGGGGTTCCTAAGAGAAAAGATCTGTGTCTGAAAAGTTTGGTTTTAAATGCTTTAAAACGCTGTTCAAAACCAACACAGCTGTTAGCAAACAGAAGAAAGTGATGTCTGCAGCAGCATTTAACTGAACACTAACTGAACTCTTTAGTCCATTTTTATCTAGGGAAAAGAAAAGAAAAGAAAGCCCCACTGTCTCACTATACATTTCTATTTACCCAGGGAGAACTTGCATACTATTGTAACTAGTATGGCACTAGAAAATCTTTACTCCAACAGGCAGATGTTTGGCAGCTTATCTAGGCCAACAGAACCCCAGCGGCCAGGGCTAGTCAACAATACTGGAAACCAATGCTACAAAATGTAAGGCTCAATATTCTTATCTGAATTTGACTTAAGCAGCAGCAGAAATTATTCATTGTGTGACTCCTTATAGCTAAGTAGGGGAAGGGTAGAGGAGAAAGTGATTCCTGGGCAAGAGTTCCCCCTAACAAAAAATCTAAGCACAAACAAAAGAAAACCACATAAAAAAGCCTGAATGGGACTCATTTGCTGGGGAGATCATGCTTGACATGTTTGTATATTCCACAGGTTTACAGGGGATTGTAGGAACATACTTGAGTGGCAATTATCTCAGCTCACTGTCCTCAATAAAAGTAAGTTCCCAAGACTTCCCTCCCACGATCATGAGGATCTGCGTTCTCCCCCTGCCCTCTTGGGGAGTTTCCACTCTTCACTCCCCAAGCAACCTTAGCAGTGAAAACTCACCCTTGTCTGCTCTTCTGCAATAACATGTGTACCACATTTCCCTGACTTACCACTTCCTTTGGGTTTTCTGCTGCTTTGCTGGATTTCTAAGACTGCACAAGAGGAGACCACAAGATCACACTAGCGGCACATCACTAGAATAGGTTATAATGGAAAATGAAGCAGGGATCCACTCACCTCCATTTGTAATCCCACTTCCTCCCTTTTGTAATCTCAGTGGTGAACCTAGCCTGGGCTCAGGCCACAAATTCAGATTCAGAGAATACATTTCTCCAAGTTAAGGAGTATGTAGATCCCCGCTTTGTTTTGCCCCATTATAGAGATAAGAAGCAGCCCTCTACTGAAAATCTATCCTAATAAGTGCAAGGTTTTACTCTGGACTGCTGGGACTACTTGAACACTATTCTTCAGTAGGAAATCAACTGAGAAGGGGAGAGAAGTGTGCACACAGCCTCCTGCGTAGCAGCCTCACTGTACTGCATTCAAAGTTAGTGTGAGTCAAAGTTTGGTGGCTGACAAAAAATTAGTCATTGTGGAAGTCTCCTTGGTGATTCATTGTGTGCTTTGCTCTGCCACTACTAATTTTGCTTAACACATTGCTGCTTTTGTAGGTCATTAGTTACGGTTTCTCAGCTATTATCTCAGAGAAACAGGTCAGTGATTATTTTAATGACCAACTTGTTAACAGATTTACAGTATTTATAAATCTGCTAAATAGCAATTGAGGTAGTTTATTATTGGTAATGTATATTTGTTCACTTTTCTAAGTGATATATAAAGCAAAATTAAAACACTGAAGACATGAGGGACCTAAGGATGGGTTGGGAATTATGAAATAATAGATACTTAATCAAATCTTTTTCTGAGGATGCTCAAGGAATAAATAACCATGCAGGCAATGCTTACATGCCACGGAGAGATGTTGCTTCTTAGTGTTTACACAGTGCTTTGGGATTTTCCAGCGAAAGAAGCTGCAGAAAAGAAAAGTATGACTATCAAATTTATACTAATATATTACTAGAGGTATTTCCAGTTGTGATTAGTAATCATTACCATTACTGGAATGCCTAGAATCCCCAGTCAGGCATCTGTAGACCAGGATCTCTTTCTAAGTAGGTGCTGTACAAACAGAAAAAAGAAGAAAATCCCTACCCGCAAATAGTTTCCATGGTAGGTATAGCACAAGAAATAGTAAGTGAATACTGGCAGGGGAGTACCAAGGAAACACTGGAACAATATTGGTCAGATGGACAGGCAATGACCTTAGGACATCAGCAACCTATCCACTGTGAAGTTTTCATAAGACTCACAATAAAGGAAACCTATAACAGGGCTTTGTAGATATGTACAGAGACCTCCTCTTGAACACAAGGACCAACATAGGTATAAAAATAAAGACACTTGAAGACACATTTAAGAAGTGGGTGAAGTAGGCTTACATTGTGTACTGATCCAAGATGTGAGATGACATTTCAATAGAAAATATGAGGTAACTGGTATGTGTGCATAAGCTATGAAAGGCCATGAAAATGAAGAAAATTAACTTATGTTAACTCAGATGTACTAGGTAAGGAAGAAAGCTATTTACCCCCTCTCTGTAGAGCAGTAAGACAGGAAGATGATTCAATGTGTGTAGCATGCCATAATGCCAAGGGGCATAACCAAGCCCCAACATGCAGGATGAGGATACTGGTTTATGCTAGTGTAACAGGCTAGCTGGTAATGATTTGGCCCAGGGGTTTTGAAAGGGTAAAAGATAATTGGAGGGCTTGGGATTCCTTTTCCTCATCAATCAGGTGCCAGAGACACCCTCCATGTCCCCTGATTGGCCCCTCGGGTCACCTGGAGGGGGATAAAAGAGGCAACGCAGCTGACTCAGAGAAGACCAGCAAGGGACCATGAGGAAGGAGTTTCAAAGAGCTGGCAAGAGCTGGGCCAACGGGGCAGCAGCAGTTGCCCCAGAAGAACCTGAAGGAGTGGCACCTGCAAGCAGCAGTTGGACCCTCAGCAGTGCGGTGTATGGCTGGCAGGAGAGGCTCCCCACTGGGCTCCAGGATCCTGCAGCCAGCAGGAGAGGCTCCCCAGCTCCAGCAACAAGCTGAGCAGTGACCTGAGAGGTTCCCAGTGCTGCTTCCAGCTCCTCCAGCAAGAGGCCAGGAAGCTCAACATGAGGCAGGGGCTCCTGAAAAGTTAAAACCCCTAGCAGCTTAGAGCAGTGCCAGCATTGGTGGCTGTGTGGTAGCGGGTTTTTGCCTACCATGTGTGAGACTGGAGTTCAAGTCTCAGCTAGGATGAATTGGGGTGAGTGAAGTGACAGGGAGGAGTTCTTGTTGCAATAGAAAGGACTCATTGTGTTTTCCCTCTTCCCACCCCCCCCCAGGTACCTAGGCCCTATATTTCTTGTTATTTGATGTTTTGTATTTTGTGCATTTTCATATTTCACCAACCCATATTGTTTGTTCTGCTGTTTGTGTTTTATATTTTGTTAAACCTGTCTTTCGTCAACTGGATGAATATGTGTACGATTGTAAGTGCCTAAACTTTATTGAATCCTGCCCCCTCAGGGCGTTGTAGTGTCCCCTGTACTCCCTGGTTTATGCATGTTATGTTCTCACTACTGTTTTTTTTTCTCATTAAAAGATATGGTTAAATCCCCCTTGGTGATCTGGCTCTGCTTTATAGGGGAAGGAGGGTCCTTACACCTCCCACAGCGTTTGTGCACCTGCTCTGATCCCTTCAATTGGAGAGGGGGT